CAGAGCCCTCGGTAAACCTAGCGAGTAATAGACCAGTAAGTAGCTTAGAGATGCATCGCCACGTTGAAAGCCTGCGAAGCACATAAATCTATTCAAACACTTGCAAACCATCATAATTCCCCATACTCAGAACCTTCCTAGATGCGCGTGTTACCGGCCTCTACAACACGTGGAGAAGGTCCTTAGCCACTTTGCGGGCGAGTTGGCTGACCTCGTCGTTGCCGTGGCTTTGCTGCTAGTAGATATGTCTGGATTGGGGTGCGGGGTCTTGGGGAGTTCGAGTTTAGGGTTCGTGCATGCGCGTGCATGTGCTAGTGTTCGTGCGATTTAATGTGCAGTAAACCCTAAACCCTAAACCCTAAACCCTGGGTAGGAGTTTCTAGGGCTGGGTAGCTTTTCAGGGTTCAGGTTGGGACTTCGGGGCTCGGTGTTGAGGTGATACGGTTTAGGGTTTAGGGTTTAGGGTTTAGGGTTTAGGGGTTTAGGGTTTAGGGTTTAGGGGTTTAGGGTTTAGGGTTTAGGGTATATTTCTCTGGTCTCTATCCCTGTACGACGCAGCGGATGCAACATATGCAGAAAACCTTACGTAGGGCTTGGGGCCTTGGAAATGTAACCCAGAATGAACCGTGGCAACCCAAGATCGAAACTCCCAAAACCCAAAGCTCGAAACCCCAAAACCTTAAATCTCGAACTCTTTACGGAGAACCTTGCTGCCTAAAGCCCGAATTGAGCCAAATTATGGGGTTCAGGTCCCTGACGGTTAACTTCCTCAACCCTCTAAAATATGACTTGAGACTCTCGTATTCCCCTGTCATTTCACGTCCGGAAAAACCTCAGCCACCCGACCTCCCGGAAACCCTATAAGGTGCCCCAAACCGAATACTCAGCTAAATCCCAAAGTGTACCTGGACCTTCACTCTAAACTCCGTAAGTTCGACGAAGCCCAAACTCTCAAGCCCCCGAATCCTCAAAGTGTGAAGTGAACCGGTACACAGAGGGGCGCCCGAAGATATATGTAGATAGCGGGAGATAGGGAGACTTAAGGGATCTTATACAAGTTCCGTTATTTTCGAAAACTATCTCGCTATCTTTTT